TTATATTTCCCGAGATATTTACGTGTCCCGACCTTTTTGGGACACCCTGTATAACAATAATGTATTTTAAGACGTAAATTCTAAGCCAAAAAAATAACATACGTGTTAAATTAATATTTCACAAATGTTAATTTTCTGAAAAAATATTCTACGGTTTTTTTTACAAACCGTATCGATATTACCCTTTTTTGGTATTTATTCTCTTACATAACATTTGTGTTAGCTCATAACATATTCATTACGTGTAAAATTAATTTAAAAGTTTGAGTGGACCGTTTGCGACATGCGGTTTATGTTAAATTCGACACATTTTTTCCTTACTGTTGTCAATATATCCTATATAACACAAAGTAACTTCGAATCAAGTATCAAAAAAGAAGGAAAAGTCGTTCATATAAAAGCTTTAATGCATATTAAATAATAGGATGGAACTTATACAGTATACGTTCAAGAGACATAATATCATCTAAATTTGAATGTGTATATTAATCGCATTTATTCTATTTTCTAGAGTGTATCTGTTCGTCAGAATGGTAAAAACTATTATATCTATTGGAGTATTGTGGATAATATATAAGTGGATCTTCTCCGGTACATTATAAAATTGCTGGCTTAGACCTATCTATATTTATCAAATTATATTTTACGATGAACAGACATATGTTATACACAAAAAAGATAATTTTTTAATTAAATGTTTCTTTGAAGATGCTTATTGTATTTTCAAAATAATGAAATTATTTATTGTTCAGAATTAAATTTTCTGTGAATATTTATATAATTTACATAAAGTAGCCAATGAATTATGATTTACATACAAATAAAATCTTATGGATTTTTAATGTCAATACAAAGACAATTTGTAGTTATGTTCGTAGATAACGTTTGTTGTCCTTCATATATGTATAGTTTTGCAATTATTTATGGGAAACTTAAGCTTATAATATATGCAAATTGATGTATAAATATGAATAAACTAATGTATAATTCAAATCAATTTCCAATTCTCTTTTCCCCAATTAATAATCGCCCAGTAAATGAAAATGGATTAAAATGGATTCAAATTTCCAAAAATACGCTTTCGCGAACGAAAAGATGAATCCGGGTGAATTTTTATTTGTTTATAGAAATTATGTAAAGGATATTTTCCTATGCCTTTCAATCTAAAAAATAATAAAAAAATATATTTCTCCTGTGTTTTGTAAATACTCCTTAATTCAAAATTCTGAATAGGAAATTCAGATTTTTAATTCAATTAAATCCAACCTAATTGAATCTAATTAAATCCAATTAAATACAAAAAAAGTTTTTCTTATTTTAAATACATATTTGTATCGATAAAATTTCAATCCATTTTAATTTATTCCCGTTTACTAAGAAAAATTTTGATTTATTTTATATGATTTTTATTACATATTTAATTAATATTTAGATTTCAGTGTTATCAGGCAATAACATTATATCTTTCCATTATTTCAAAAGTGACACAATTCAAATACATGATTTTTCAATTATTATCACAAATGCATTAGACAACATTATCCTATCAAACTATCTAGAAAGAAGGGCAAAGAGCCAATAATGTAACAAACACACTTTAATTTAAATCATGAAAATAAGATGACATTATAAAGAACAAAACATACGTTTCGATTACAATCGAGTCATTCTCAATGTTGCGGTGAATACAAAATTGTTATAAAACTATAAAATCTATAATTACAAACTTCTTAATAAAATTCTGACATATTTCTTTCTCCACAATCTTCATTATGTGTAGTTCAACGAGTCAAATAAATCAAAACTTAAAGTCGTCAGAAAGTAAAACTCTAGAAAGTAACCGTGAGCAAAAGAAAATTAATACTTAGTATTATACATATAAGTCAACAATATATACAAAAACAATACAATTAAAAGATGGGCTACGAGCCCAAAAAACATTAATTTTCAATAAGATATGACAAAGCATAAAAGCCAACGCTAGTTATTATTGCGAATGTTTTCATCAATTATTACATCAAAATATATACGTTTCGACCCTCATCAGATCATCTTCGGTAAAATTTAAAAAGAATAAACATTAGTAGGATCTCCTTCCTTAATTTTCTAAACTTATCTTAAACGCGCTAACAAATTCGTGACTTTACGCCGCAAAACTTAAAACGGTAAAAACCATGCTCAGGAACTCCTTAGAGTTAGACGTTCGAAGAACTCCATAACATCTTCCTGTATTTCCACTCCTCCAAATTTATACATTATACAAATTAATTCCAGTCGTCGTCCAATTCTACTGCCAATATTTCCAATAATCTCCATATCGTTCATAATTATAAAATTAATTCTCTCGCTTGAGTAATAGTCGTGGTCAACTATTGTATGGAAGTCACAAATTCTATAAAATCATAGTAAAGCTTAATTTTTGTCAATCATATCATGTAGTCATCAATTTAAAACCGTATCTTATGAGAAAAACATTAGTCTTTTAGTCAGAAATTATTCCATATGTGTATTAAGCGTCAACCATAAATTAGCCTCGTTATAAAAATAAAAGTCAATGATTTTTCAAAAAGTCGACTGAATAAAAAGTGAATACAAATTTAAATATTTATTTAATAAATTAGAAATTAATCCAGACTTTAAATTAAATATCTACATACCCATACATTTCGACCACAACTATCCTCCAATGTTCTTTTATACAAAATTGTCAAATGTATGAAACTAAGTATAGAATCACACGATGTTCACAGCACAACTGTTAGCTTACATATGATACATTTCCAACAAACAAAGAAGAATCACCCCTTTTCTTTTCCTATCTTTAAAGAGGGGATATATCCTCTAACATTGGTAGGTAAACGTTCGGAAATTTATCCGTATCGCTTTGCTTATTTAAACCATGAGTCTGCTTCTTAATGTATATCATCTCTGATAAAAATCTCTTATAATAGAATGGCTCTTTATCCAATACACTTCTACGTTTTCCCATTCAAATTCATGATCTTTTTCTAATCTGTGTTCCGATACTACCGACAAATTCCTCGATCTTTTTTTAATGTCGCTCTGATGTTCTTTAATACGTGTCTTTAATTTCCTCTTCGTTTGACCAACATATGTGCATTCACAATCCCGACAATTTATCTTATATACAACATTGTTACTTGATGCCAGTTCTAGTTTATCTTTCCCTGTTCTAATAAATTTTCCTAGCGAACTTATCTGTTTAAATGCTACGTTCATATTGTTTTTTACAAATGTTTCTAAAATTATCAGAAATTTCCCTATGGTATGGCACAATAAAATATTTATTCTGAATTAAGTCCTTATTCTTCATATTATTCTTCTGAGTTACTTTTCTATATACATGATTTTTTATTCTTTTATTAATAGTACTAAATATAAACTGTAACGGATATCCATTATCTAGTAATATCTCAATAGCATCATTTAAATTTTTTTCCTGAAACTGTGGATCAGAAAGAAATAAAACTCTGTCAAGCAGACCCATGATAACCCCCATCTTATGTTCTACCGGATGATCAGAAAAATAATTGAGATATCTTTTTGAATCAATTGGTTTTCTGTAAATATCGAACACTTTCCTTTCAACCAACATCAATCTAACATCCAGAAAATTGATACCGTTCTCCCCACCTATCTCCATAGTAAATTGTAATCTAACATGAACCGAATTAAATAAATCTAATATCTCATTAATCTTATTTTCTGGTGCGGCAAACAAAATATCGTCCACATATCTAAAATAAATATTTAGATATAGTATATATTTTGATGTAATAATTGTTAACATTCGCAATAATAACTAGCGTTGGCTTTTACGCTTTATCATATCTTATTTTTCGAATTAAGCCATTACTTCATTGTATTGATATTAACATTAATTTTAATATTTAAATTACACACATATGTTTCAACACCGTTTGTGTCATTTTCAATGTACAACAATAATAAATTTAGTTATGAACGATTTACATATTAACAATTGAACGATTTTTGACATTAAATTTACTCTGCTTTCCTTCGGACCATCCCTCTTATATATGGGGCATTCCATGCCAAGTGGGCTACCCATTTTGCGAAGTTTCATGGATTTCGTTCATATTGCTTGAACTTGAACAGTTGGATGAATAAAGACTCTGCCGAATAATAGACCTGTAGGCTAACTGGTTGCCGAACTGTAGAGCCGTTAATTTTTGGGCCTTCTCGTTGCAGCGTTCTTTTCGCTTGTCGACGATGTCTGTCAGTTTTGAAATTTTGAAAATGGCGGCGCGCCTATAAGGCCAGTCTTAAGTTTCTTTTAATTATAGCTCAAAATATAGCCCCAGGTCCCTACTTTGTTACTCTAAAAGGACTTAATGTATACGCATTCGTTTGGGAGTAAAAACTCGGAAAGTGAGGCAATGTCAGTAGTAATGCTATGAGAGTTCTAACTCAGGAACTCCAAGGGGAATGCGGGGCGCGGGGAATTCTTCGGTGGCGGGAGTATGACGTCATGTGGAATAGCAGTAAGGCATCCCAAATTTTGGGGGCTGCAGTCACGTACAAGACAACAAAAAACATTGCAAAAAGGAAATATTGCTATGAACAAAAAAGCAATACAAAAAAAAACAAATAGTTATAAAACGAAAAGTTTTACAAAGGTTATTCGCCGGTATATGCTCCAACCGTTTTTCGATCGAGGTATAGGCGTAATGTAATTTTTCTAGAAACAACATTTATTAATTATTTTAAATACCTAAATACGACCAAGTTTCATAATTAATCGATTGAGCGCCAACATCTGGCTGCTATCGAAATCGATGTTATTGAAACGCAATATCTCCTTGATAAAAGAGCCTCGATCATTTATTCTTTTTTGAAAGGGACATGACAATCGAACATATTTTTTGCAATATGTTTCAAGGTTAGTAGAAGTGTAAATGTAAGTGAAACTCGATAGAATTGTATTTTCATAAATTCTTATGAGGATAAAAGTATGTCTAACAAGAGGAGGGCGCGAGGTGTTACTCACCGATTTTGGAAAGGCTTATATGTGGTACAGTACTGTAGTAACAGAATACTTTGGCAAAGGGATACGATGGCAGTCAAGATCATGGTATGGGACGTTTTGCAGTCATATAGATGTCATTTTACCATCATTTTAATTACTCTTTTTGACATCATATTTCTAATCAATTTGATGTCACATTGACATCACCTTGACTTGTAAGTAGTTTTCACTGGGAAACTTCCCCGAAAGCTTTGGATAACTTCAAGTTATTGCTCGACGAGGAGTTGGCAGTTCAGGACAAGAGGGAGGATTCATCGAGCAAGTATCTCGCGGTTCTTCTCTTAACAAGTAAAAATAGATTTCATCCTTGTATGATTATTCACTCCAATTACTCCCTAAAATTCCATTTCGACCGTTTTAAAGCAATAACTTACAATGTTAGGTAAATAATTGACGCGCCCGTTATTAAAAGTTGATTGCATCAAAGCGAAGTTACGAAGAAAATTCTTGATGGAGATTTACGTTAACAAACAAGTTTATTCACTGTATAAATATTCTAAATAAGAGACTACGCAAGAGAACGCATGCGTACGTCAATTGCGAGGATGTAAAAATAATATAGGCAGTAATATTTTTCAGTTTTCCGCGCATATG